GTACACTATCTCGAACGGTAGTCACGGTAGTAGCCTGCGCCCGGAGTAAGAACAACGTTATTCTGCTCGCCGAAGCTGAATTGCCATGACCTCAACGAACTGTATTCACCATGAATTCCGCGACTTTAGCACCCAAATGCATGTTTTGGCTAGACACAATTCGACGTTTCACTAAGACAAAACATGTCCTCGTAGATGCTAACCGTTTTTATAATCTGAACAAATCACTAATGTAAAAGAAACCGGCTTGTAGTTGGTACATTTAGTTGATCACTTACAGTGAATGAGCGAATATATGTAATGGCAGTATCTATTCACATGTACATCAGCTTACGGGGCTCGATTAACTGAGTGCAGTCTTTGCACATACCAGATTTATCACCGAACGAGGAGATTGTACAAAATTCGTGAATCACCTTCATTTTCGAGTTACCGTCATGGTTGGTGTTGGCGCATTGGCCATATGTGGCGCCATCGCGAAATCCGGTTGTCTGTGAAAGGTTGAGGTACGCACGTCATCAAATAGGTAGTCACGACGGGTGATGTTTGCAAAAGCAGTTAATGGGTGAATAAAAGCCAAGGGTGGTCAACCTAAGACCTGGCACGAGGGAATGAAATCCCTAACCAGGAGTATGGCTCACATAGGTCCCGTTAGACTCCCTGAATTGGAACCTGGGGAAGATCATAACCGATGGTTGGAGACACAGTGATAAACAGTTCATCTTCCTAATTTCTTTGCAATCCTAGACCACCGAAATTCTCCATTTTCTGTTGGAATCTACTTGCAACATTCTTGTCTTTCTCCTATTTGTCATCCAGATGGGCAGCCAAAAGACAGCAACCAAAACCGGCGCACAAAGGTACATGGCTAATGGTTGCACCAAACTGAACTAAACTGAACTGAGTAGCCATCAGTGTGCTTTGGGTGCTATGGACCGAGGTTTAAATCCTATCAACGCCACTCAGATTTGGTGATAGACAGCGGTACCTTTGTCCGCTTCAGTACTACGCCTAACCCAGTGGGGCCATAATTGGTCCACCATTCCAAGTCCCGGGGCTTAGGTTACTGATTTATATCACTGGATATCAGGTTTAAGCGAGTATAGAATTTGACTAGTCCTCTCACAAACAGTAATTGCAATAAACATTTGGATAACTGGACCCAAGATCATCACATTTGCAGTTGAAAAATGCATGAAAATCAATCTCAACCCAATTTTTGATCCGTTCTCCCTCACACTTCCGGTATTAGTCCGTTCAGGATCCACATCAGTAATTGTTCCTCGCTTACCCGAATTGGTTGTCTGTTGCCTAT